CTATTCTCAGAGGGGATTGTATTCAGGTAAGAAGACGTAGAGTTGGAGTTGGTAGATAGTTTAGATCTATTCTCAGAGGGGATTGTATTCAGGTAAGGAGATGTAGAGTTGGAGTTGGTGGATAGTTTAGATCAATTCTCAGAGGGGATTGTATTCAGGTAAGGAAACGTAGAGTTGGAGTTGGTGGATAGTTTAGATCCATTCTCAGAGGGGGATTGTATTCAGGTCAGTTTATGGAAGGACAAAACAAACCTTTGATAAGCATGCACACTGATTTCTCTGAATAAATACCAAAACTTTGCAAATCTGGAGAAATCAAACAATATTAGATTTTCCTAGAACCAGTGTAAATATATATATATATATATCCAACCACTAAAATATATTCCATTAGAAAATATTGTCTTTCTGAGAGGATATCTTAACATACATATCTTTTACCTTGAAAAATATTGTACAAATTTATGTACTGCATTTGCTCCATTACGTGGGAGTCAATTACCAATTGATGTGAAACTACAGACTAGTTTATTCTACACTTATAATTGTTATATTTTTGTGAGACAATTTGTCTCATGAGAGTAAAAAAACCTCTGACAAATGTTTTATGTCTTGTGAGAACACTGCTCTATCAGTAGTACATGCCCTTTATATACAAATGACACAGGTGCTTCCAAAATACGTTTTATAATAACTTATCTATCATGCAATCAATGAGTTTTTTTAGAGTATGTGTAATTTAAAGATGTGCTACTCATATACAAATACAGTATAGTGACTAATGTGATACTCACTTTTTTTTTTAATTCTTTGATATTTGTTTACTAGTGTAAGGCCACCTAAAAAGAGTTGGAAGAATATCTCTAATTTATCTGGTGGGGAGAAGACGTTGAGTTCTTTGGCGTTGGTGTTTGCGCTGCATCACTTCAAGCCTACACCGTTATATGTTATGGATGAAATTGACGCAGCTTTGGATTTCAAAAATGTATCCATTGTTGCAAATTATATCAAGGTATTCCTAATGTGTTAATTACTGTAAATTAATTTTTTTTTCGCTATTTTTGCTGAAGAGATGATTCATTGAAATGATGATTCATAAAACTACTTCCTGGGAAAAAGAGGATTAACATCCAGCAAATATACCATTTTTTCTATATTTCACATTCAACTAGTCAAAAATCAGTGAAAATAAATTCCATACATAACACACAAAAAGCCTTTTCAGCTAAAATAAAGTATTTTACAGTATTTGATGCTGCTGTTGATGATGATGCGATATATTATATCCTTGCCATAGGAACTAATGGGAAAATGCCTGAAAACAGAACATGCTATATTCACTCTATTTTGTACAATCAATTTTTTTGCGAACAGAGTACAGCAACCCCATATTTTAATTTTATTTTCTTTATCCTCCTGACATATATGTGAAAATATAGAAATTGACATTATTTTAACTACTGAGTGCATTCTACCTTAATAAGAGGGGAATGTATGGATAATAAGTACACTGTCCAGCTTCAACTTGCATCAACACCATTACAGTGAAATTCATTTTGTAAACTTCTAACATGTAACTTTTATATTTTTGCTATACAGGAAAGAACCAAGAATGCCCAGTTCATCATTATATCACTACGTAATAACATGTTTGAATTAGCCGACAGATTGATTGGTATATACAAGACTGACAATTGTACAAAGAGTGTGACTATCAATCCTAGAGCATTATCACAGGGCGTGCCAGTAGAATGCTAATACATTTGTTGTTGTATTTTACTGCAAATATGAGCCATGTGATTTTTATACAAAGTTTTTAACTGTTTTCTATTCTGATTGGCTACTGTCACTGCCTGTGCAACCAGATTGCAATGTATATAATATTAACCATTTACATATACCACAATATAATAGATTGTTTGCAAATAATGTAAAATTACTAGAAGTTTAGTTGCAGACTCAATCCTCTTAGATATTATTATACCGGAATGATATACAAGAAACATTTAAAAAAAACATAATGTACAGAAACATACAGGTTCATTTTGGCCTTTGAAAAGTTACGAGTTTACAGTTTTGTAGCCAAAGACTGAAATGCAGTCACTATATTTACAAAACAGGGAAGTTATTGTGAGTTGACAACGTTATGGCCCAAGATTTTTGTGAGCACTTCTTATGTAATTAATGACTATTATGGTGTAGTAAATAACCACCAAACAAAACTTCAAATTGTGGCCAGCTTCCTGGGTTAGGTTTGTAGAAGCTGCACCAATGGCAGAGGTTGAGTAAAAAAATTGCAGAGGGCCCAGCCCAATGTAGATGATCATTGTTTTACACTGTCACTATATTGTGTTGGTATTGATAGTTGCTCATGCTGAAGGTTTAGTAATATTGTACCATTCCTTTCGGTCTATCCTCTTTTTTTCTTGTAAAAGTTTTGTGGTTTACCTTTACCCTGCTTTTTTTTTTCTGTATGTGATGTCTGGTTCACCATGCTGAGATGACAGCCTAATAATAATGAACTCAATCCAGTTGAGAGATAGCCGTGTCTACTATCACTGCCATTATTTGAATAAATTTTTTTTATCATAAAGTTGAAGTTTTTATTGTTGCTTCACCCTTCCTGCAGTAGTGATAGTACATTCAGGATATTTTTAATACATTGAAAACCTTATGTTTGAAAATAGTGACCTGAATAATGAAGTCTATACAATGACAATGTTATTAAATAACCTTTTGTTCTGATTCAATTAATTTCACAATTTTATTTGTTGATGCAGGGTCACACATTGGAGCTACTGTAAAACACATTGAAATATTAGCTTTGTGTCATTTTAGTGAATTTTACATGATCTTAATCCAGCTAAAGTGCCAACAATCTCATATATAGTATACGATATTTTTTGGATTACCAGTAGCTAAAAATACATGCTTTACTGTAAATGCAACGCGACTATTAGAACTGTTTGATTCAGTGCAAAAAAAATGCCTAGAATACAATTTTTATTGAGCATTGATGTTCAGAAAGTTTATGGCAGGATTGTTCCGGAACAACTGATGACACCATAGTAGTTTATAACATGAACTGTAATACTACTATACATGACATGCAAAATTAGGGTTTTATTGCCAGAAGAATTTCTGGTCTGGTCTGGTTATAGAATGATAGTCATACCAAAGTGTGGAGGGGTAGATTTGCTAAATTACAACGCACCTTTTGCTAATGCAGAAATACAGTGCATACACTGACAAATTCAAAACAACTGGATAGTTTTTGCACGCTTCAAAAATTCATCTAGACTTGCAGCAACCCAGCTTTTGCCATTTATACACTCCAGTATTTTATTGAAAAAAAATACTGCAATCTCATAGTCTGAAAGGAAGTGAATAACAGTGTCAGTCAAACAATACCTTCAATTTAGTAATAATGTGAAATTTACTTTGGCGTAATTTATTTTGACATGTTTTCCCAGAGTGCTAATTGTTTCTTGAACACGCAAATAGTCTCCAAAACGCAAGTCCCATGTCTAAAGAGGGCTCAAAATTTGTCAAATTCATTCTGAACGTTTGCTTTTGCATAAAGCCAACAATGAGCAATACATACTTGCCAGGTTAGTTGTAGTGGGAACTGTCTACAGGCCATTGAAAATGTCAAGCCCCCTCTAATGTCTGTTGGCAAAATGACTGCCAGCAGGTCATTTTGAATTCACAACTTTGGTTGATGTGCTATAATAAAATTGTCAGTGTGAATTTAAGATATGAGCAGAATGTTTGACACAAATCAATATTTATTAATGTGCTAGAACCAAATCCATAAGCCTCCTAACTGTCCAGTCAGGGACTGTAAATACTGATTCACACCTCAGTTCATGGCTTTAATTCACATGTGAAAGACTTTCAAAAAATAATACAAAAATTATTAATTTAATTTTTCATTTGTGAAAGTTCATAATATTTGATTACATAGCATTCACAGGCCGATAAATTTGCTACGACCCATTGAACAAACATTTTGCAAATTTTGAAGTATTTTTCAATAATCTATTGCATTTTAGACATAATATCCAATCGGTTAAACATCTTGAAAAATATTAATTAAATTATGATTTTTGAAAAGTTGACTTTAGTGTTCAAATGGTAACGAGGATAGTTAATGAAACTATGTACAGTAAAAGGATTTGAAAAATTGCATGATCTGGGAAATAAATAAGTCTATAAAAGTATGGATATTTATTAATGTGAAAATATTTGCAATGAATTTAATGTAAACCATCAATCACTGCTACTTTCAGACAAGTTGACTTCAAGTGTCACTTGTTGTCTGGCTTTACTAGTCGCCTGTCGTGTCTTTCGTGAAGTTCTTCTAGCGACTGCTTTCCCTTTGTTTTTAGTTCTGGTCTTAGCTGCGACACGTGTACTAGGAGTTCTTTGTGATGCCTTAGTGGACGTATCACTTTCATATTCTGAGCTATTAGATTCACTGTTCATGTCGGTTTTTTTCTTGGCTTTCTTACATTTGACTTTATCCATACGGTCAACTGATGTTTTTGGTAGTGCTCTTTTAAGGACGTTTGTGTTACCTCTCAGATGTCTGTTTAATACTTGATTTATTCGCTTGCTCTTGACTTTCCTTGGTTCATTCAACTCCACAGGAAAATAGTGATTCATTTTGGTTTGTGTCTACAAAAAATAACATGTGGATAGACTATAATTATACCTTGTAGACCTAAATTTAGCTTTATGACAGCATAGTAGTAAAATACATTATTATACATCTGTCACCGTAACGCCGCAAGTTGCAGCGTGTCGTACTTTTGTGGGGTATTTTCATCCTACGATATAAGGAAATGCAAATTTCAAATATGGAATGATTACGCATGTAAGCATCATCTGATAATAAAAACAAATGTGGCTGCCACCAGAGTTTGACCGGACTCCACACAAAAAAGTTCACTGATTCTGTTCTAAACATTTTGGATTTCAACATTCCCATGATGTATCCTTGGAAGTAAAAGATGTATAATAATAAGGTTATTACGAGGATACCTCAAAGTATGCACTCGACAGTACGCCGTCGATCGCTACTGTACTTTCTTTGTGCATACTTAGAGGTATCCTCATAATAACCTCATAGTATACAGTATTATTTGCATATACACAACATAATTAACATAAATAAGGTTTTTTTGTCAGTCATTAATATCTCCCCCTATTTGGAAACCTAAAATATGAGAAATCTTTTGGCGGGTACTTGAAAAGGCGTGAACTTAAGAATTCTCAGCAATTAAGAATAATGGGACACATAGAAATTTTTATCAAGCATTCATCTTGTCTTAGTAGCTAGTTCCAAACTTGTGTACAAGTCAGAATCGTACAGATCGATCAAGTGAAATGATGACAGTGCAGTAAATACGAACCGCACCAAACTGTCCCTTCTCTACAAATAAAAAATATGCATCTTGCTTCTCAAGATGTCTATAGTGATTTTACACTGTAAATTGGCTATACCCCCGGTACTTGTAGTAGCAATAACTGTTTTACTTTTACTAGCATTTAATACATTAATGTGATGCTGGTCTCCCCGTTCATCCATAGAGGCTTTCAGCAAGGGAGGTGTTAATAATGGGCACAATGTGGTTAAGATCACACCTTTACAACAGAGTACAGTACAAAAGACAATAAAATCAGTTTATTTGATGTCCATGATATTCTTGATTACCAGTACGGATGAGTTAGGCAGGTATATCCCCCATCACTGTATCAAACAATATTAACAATGGTCATTTGAAAAATCATGTTTTTAGGGTGGGGTATTCAAGACATTCAAACATACGCAAGCAATACTTACTGTTTTTTCATGCAACTTTTTCATCACAGGTAATAACACTTCATCGGTCTTTAGTTTAGTCCACCCAAGCTTCTCATTTGCAAATGTAACAAATGGTAATTAAGGATAAATAAATAAGACCATCACATGTAATACTTGAACAAGGATCAAATCAGATTCTGTGTACATTTAACTATCAACTGACAGATGTTGACTATAGGTGATTTTCAATAAGTTATTTTCCATTCAACTGCAAGATCTTGCATGCTGCTTAAAAGATGCAGACCGAACATCTGCTGGAAATAAACAACATTTATAGCTCAAAGTCAAATGGGTGATCTTTGAGAGGGGAATATTGTGTTTAGATACCCTTACTTCATTGAAATTGACCACCATCAAATGTGTAAAATACATTCCTGTTCGTCAAATCTCACGAGACGTTTGACGCCACTATGATGCCTTTGTATGTCTTTTTTTTTTTTTTATTTCATGCATACCTTTAGATCTCGCAGAGAACGAAAAATGGTCTATCAGTATGAGAATATTTTTGATTGGTGTAACTTAAATTGGCAACAATGCTTCCCTGCTGATTTAAAAAAAATAATAATTCATCATTGACACAACCTTGGTTTTGTTTTCACAAATTTAAATTGTTACTACAGCACACTGTATGGTTACCAGAATTCAATGATATAACATTGCTTCAATCATTGTTTTACAATTTTAAAATACCACAGTATTGTACACATTATGTTTTACACGTTGACCCATATCAAATACGATGCAACAAGGTTACTGTTAATATGATAAATTCAAAGCAGGATGCATAACTATCAACTGATCATCAAGTCAAGAATAAATCAATCATTTGATTGTTTATTTTTTCAAATTCCAAACTGTCAGGCAATCAAAAAGCCAACTTGCTGTAAGATGGGAAACAAGATCACATGGCATTATTTCCTTCACTTGTTAAAATTATATTAAAATTATATTAAAATTATATTAAAATTATATTAAAGGATATTCCCTTAGAGATGTTAGGTCTGGCAGACCCCATGTAAAAGCCTCTGTTGATTCATCTATGGCTGGATTCATATATGCTTCTCTCACATTGATATTAGGAAATCCACTATGTACTTGTACAGTTCTTAGTTTGGATTTCACTTTAGTTTCACTGGATGGAAGCTTGACTTGTTTCTGAGCTTCCTCCCACCACTCTCTGCATGTAAACACATTAGAAGGATGGTAACACATAACATTGGTAGAAAATTTGTGACAAAAACATTGCTGGATGTTTTGATGACACCTAGAGTCTTCTAATAATTGCTAATAGTCAGTGTGTAGCTCAATACACTGTTTATTCGGTAGAATGACATCGAGTGACTACGAAATCAAGTACAATCACGATACACACTAATGTATACAGAAAATGTCCTTTGTAAAGGGTTTATTGGATTCATACCTTTGATTTAAAAATTGAAGAAACATTTGTAATGATGACAGTCACTCTTAAATATATATTTCAACTTAATCCAATTTAATGTAGCGAGCTGTATTGCGTTTGCACTCATAAGAGTGTCTTTGTAACCTACACTTAAATGACTAAGCTGAATTTATGTTTCATTACAATAGACA